CTGGGCTCCAAGATCACTGCAGATGGGGACTGCAGCCAAGAAATTAAAAGACGCTTGCTCCGGGGGAGGAAAGCTATGGCAAATCTAGACAGCATATTAAAAAGCAGAGACATCACCCTGCCAACAAAAGTGCAGATAGTCAAGGCTGTGCTTTTCCCAGTTGCAAAGTATGGCTGTGAAAGCTGGACCATAAGGAAGGCTGAGCGCCGAAGGATTGAGACCTCTGAATTGTGGTGCTGGCGGAGACTCCTGCGAGTCCCTTGGACCACAAGGCGATCAAACCGGACAGTCCTGGAGGAGATCAACCCTGACTGCTCTTTAGAAAGCCAGATCCTGAAGATGAAACTCAATGGAGATCAAACCGGTCAAACTTAGATCAAACCAATCCGACTTAGAAGAGATCAACCCCGACTGCTCTTTACAAGGCCAGATGCTGAAGATGGAGCTCAAATACTGTGCCCACCTAATGAGAAGGACGGACTCCCCGGAGAAGAGCCTGATGCCAGGAACAACTGAGGGCACAAGGAGAAAGGGTGGCAGAGGAGGAGGTGGCTGGACGGGGTCCCTGGGGAGGCGGGTGTGGGGCTGGGTGGACTCCGTGGATGGTGGAGGGCAGGAAGAACTGGAGGAATGTTGCCCATGGGGTCGTGGTGGGTCGGACGCAATTTCGCGACTAGCAACAACAAGCATTAGTATGTGTCAGTCTATACTTCTATCTCTGGATGCAGAGCGCCGCCTGCACTGACCGGGTGGGGAACAGGATCGCAGGTCGCACAGTTCCGAGGGGAATAGGATTCCGCGAGAAAGAGGCGACCGCGCGGCCGCCCCTGCCCCTCCTTTCCCGGCCTCTCCCCGTAAGCGACGGGCAGAGCTGTCTCCGCCTCGTCCCAGCGGCGCGTTCAGCAGAGGAAGCCCCCACGCGTCCCCTGCGAGGTGCTCTCGCGAGGCATGCTGGGACTTGTAGTTGTCCGAGGCGGGCGAACCGGAAGCCGCGCCGGATGCCCGGAAGCGACGCGCGATGGCGGCCGGAGCGGAGGAGGAGGAGGCGACCTGGCGGAGGCGGCGGCTCCGTTCCGGAGACATGGAGGAGGACGAGGTGAGGGCCGGGCCGGGCCCCGCGGGGGGGGGGGGTGCCTTGGCGACCCTTGCCCTCTGGAGGATGCTGGGAAGCTGCACCGGTTGGGCGCCCGCCTGTCCCTGCAGAAGCGGTTCCATGCCGTAGCACTTCGGGCGCCCTGGGCAGGCAGCCTCCGGGAGTGCGAGCACCAGAAGCACCGGCGTGCAGCGTGGCCAGCGGACACTGCACCTGTTGGATTGCTTCCTGCCGCCCGAATGGCTTTCGAGGAGGACTCATTGGCACGGATTGTGATTGCACGGAGAGAAGGCTCCCTGTGGCTCCCCGTCCTCGCGGCTCAGGGCTGCCTCCAGTAGCAGGCAGCGCTGCTGGGGAGCATGGGCGGGAAGGTGCCCTTGCACTGGTTGCTGCTTGCCGGTCGTTGGCTGGGGCAGCGGCCTGCAGAGAGTCTGCCCCCCCCCCAGGCACGTCCGGCATGCCCCCTCCCTGGCCTTAATTCCGGCCCCTGCCGCTCTAACGCTTGCAGAGGCCGGGCAGCCGTTCTCCCTGCCGATATTCGTATTTCTGCTCTGCCTTCCCTTCTGCGCAGCTCCAAAGATCATGCAGAATCCCTCACACAGTCTGCCCTCGAGGCCCCCAAGTGGTGGGGACCGCAAGGGGACTTGGATCTGGGGGCTTTCTCTACGGGACACCAAGCTGGCACTCCCCAGACTCAAGCCTTGGAGGAGAGCTCGCCTTTTCTTTTTTTTAATAATAAGTTTTATTCAAAATTTTTAGTCCTAAAAGCAAAGAAAAACTAAAAACAACATCAATCATCAAAAACATCGAGCCTGCTGGGTCAACCCCCACATTCTTTTTTCCATTTATGATAACTTAAAAATGTATCTAAATCTATACGAAGTCCTATTTCTCTAGCCAATAGTAAAAAGGGTCCCAAGTTTGACAGAAATCAGTATCTTCTTCCTCCTTCAATGCCAAAGTCAATCTATCCATTCCTGCACAGTCTAAGATCTTTTTTAGGATCAGGTCGTCGGTGGGAGGAGAGCTCTCCTTTCACTGGGGTGGGGAACCTCTCGCAGCCGGAGGCCGACCCGGGTTTAGAGAAGCCTGGTGGGGGGCTGCCGTCCAGCAGAGGGCCGGGCTAAAGCAGCAGCCGCCGCCGCTCTGGGTGTGTGGCACTGCCTGCCTGTCACTGAGCCTGGACAGAGACATGTCAACCTTTTGCAACGGGAAAAGAGCAGTTCAGGTGCTGAACAATCCCCGGCCGGTCAGGGAAGGGGGCACGGCCCCCTGGAGACTCTGGCAGTGTCGTCCTGCAGTAGAAAACTCTCAGGCAGCTTTTTCAAGCAAACAGCTCAAATTGCTCCATTCTGTTGACTTTCTGCCCGCCAGGTACCTGAGAAAGAGCAGGAAGGCCCAGTAGGAAGAGAAGCTTAGGACTTGGCAGGAAAAGCTGCGTCGTGTCGCTTGGAGCGCTTTTTGAATGTGTGAGCTTTTGCTTTTAGAGGAAACCCCGCGGGTGCAGCATCTTTCGCAGTGGAGACGGAGTTTAGCAGCTGAGGCCGTGTGCTGATTCGCCACCCTGTGAGCAGAGCTCTGGGCTAGACGGCCCACTGACCTGATCCAGCGGGGCGCTTTTTTGTGCGCCTGCGGCTTTTGAAAGGACATCGGCCTCCCTGAGGCTCGGGAAAGGGAAAGGCAGCCCTCTTTCTTGCCGCCTGCGTGATGTTTCCGGCGGACCTCGGGCTTGAAAGATGCAGGACGTGAATGGTTTTCAGAGGAGAGCTGGGATGGCACAGCTAGGCGAGGGCGCGTTTTCCGAATGAGGAGGGAGAGCGGAAGGGCGGGCACCCTGTGAGCCCCTGCCCCCCCCCCCGGCTTGCGTGGCCTCGTGGGCCCTGCATCCTGGCTGAGGAGCCCCCGGCTGGTTCAGGCCGGACAGGTTCATGTGGCCCAGAGCCACTGGCTGGAGAAGAGCCCGGAGCCCGGTCAGGTGTCCCTTTCTGCGCCGTGCTTTTCCAGGACCCCCACCAGGAACCCCTGAGATGCCCCCAGACAGGCAGTGGGCCTCAGGGACACGTGCTTGAAGTGGCCAAGCCACGTGGCCGTCCTCACCGGAGCCTTTTTGTCCCCAAGTGTGCCGGATTCCCCCCCCCCCCCCGAATCCTTTCCAAGTTAGCATCTCTTCCCTCAACAGCAGATTGTCCATGAAGAGCTACCAAATTTTGGTCTGTACCACTCTGGCAATTCTCTGGGGGGGGGGGGCTTCCACATGCAGAGCTGCCTCCACTCCCGAGCTGGAGCCTCTCCCGCCCCTCGTGAGCCCCGATTAACGCCGCGTTGTCTGCTGTCCAGGGGCCAGGGGAGGAGGCGCTGCAGCTGAACCTGGGCGAGCTGGACCTGACCTCTGATGAGTTCATCTTGGATGAAGTGGACGGTACGTGAAGCGGGGGCTCCTTCGCACTCCTCTGCCTGTCTCGCCTCCCACGGGAAAGAATCTGCTGGCTGCGCAGCTCAAGCGGCTGCTCCTGCAAGGGGGCCGGGGAAGCATTTTGGCCTTTCCTCTGCAGACAGAGCGGTTCCGTTTTTTCTCTCCGCACTAGCCCGAGCAGGGCCCTACGACGTGCCGGGACCCGCGGGCACCAGCGGAATTGGAGCGTGCTTCATGGGCGCTCTCACAAAATGGCTCCCGTTGGAGCCGGGCGGGGGGCAGCGCTGCCTCCCCCCCAGACTGACGGTTCTGTCCCTTTCAGTTCACATCCAGGCCAACTTGGGGGACGCGCTGGTGCGGGAGGCCTTGAAGACGGTGAGTGGGGCAGCAGGGTGGGGGAGGCGGGGGCCCGGGGCGCGTGGAAGGGCGCTCGGCAGTGACCCCCGCCCCCCTCTTCTGCCCTGGCAGGGCGTGGACCTCCGGCAGTACTCCAAGCAGGTGGAGCGGGAGCTGCAGCAGATCGAGAACGCATCCATCAAGGACTGTATCCGCCCCGCGGGTTGGTGGGGGGCCTAGGGCAGGGCAGGGCAGGGCAGGACAGGCCCCGCGGGGCTCTCAAAGCAGCCGTGCCTGGGGCAGGCCGGCGCGCTGGGCCCAGGGGGGTCCTATGACACCCCTCCGGGTCGGCGGTTCTCCTTAGCGGCCTCCGCAGACATCAAGGAGAGCAAGAACATCGCCTCGCTGCACACGCAGATCACGGCCTGCGACGCTGTCCTGGAGGTGAGCCGGCCCTGCCCCCTCGGTCGGTCCCGGCTGCCCAGAGGAGGGCTCGGAGCAGGGCCACCGTCGCTGGACACGGCTCTTTCCTGCCCTGCCTTGGGCTGCATGCGGAGCAGGCCACCCAGCTCCAGCTCAGCCGCCACGGGACCGCCCCTCCCGCCCCTCCCCTGCTCGGCCCCCGACTGTCCCCCCGTCCTGGCCAGCCCCGTCCTGTGCTGCGGGGCCTCCCCACACCCCCTCTTTCCTGGGCTGCCAAGCCCCCCCGCCTCTCTGCTGGGTGCAGGGGCTTCCTGTCCTGGCCCACCCACTTCCACGGGTCTGCTGGAGGGGCAGACGTGGCCCTGGGCACAGTCACACGCTACGCGCAGAGGCACCATCACCCCCTCCCGGGCAGGCTGCCCCCCCCCCCCCCGGCTTCCTGGTCTGACCTGGCAATGCTTGGCCTTTGCACACCCCCCAGCCAGAGCGGGGAGCATCCTGGCTGACTGGGGGGAGGGCGGGTTGCAGCCCCCTGCAACTGGGGAAGGCTGAGGAGGCGCTCTGGAGTGCTCCCTCCCCGGCCTGATGGCCATCAGTTCAGCAGGCTGACTCCGGAGCCCACGCTGCACAGCTGGGCTGGAGGAGCGACAAGAGCCTTCGCCGCGGTCTTCTGGAGCGGGAGCGCAGGGCTGCCCCCTGCTGGCCAACACGCTTGGGGGGGGCGCACAGCGGCCGCCTCTCCTCCAGCGGCCCCCTGAGGCAAGCCCCCGCTCCCCCCCCGTCTTGCAGCGCATGGAGGCCATGCTGAGCTCCTTCCAGTCCGACCTGAGCAGCATCAGCTGCGAGATCCAGACCCTGCAGGAGCAGTCGGTGGCCATGAACGTCCGGCTGCGCAACCGCCAGGCCGTCCGAGGGCGCCTCTCGCAGCTGGTGGACGAGCTGGTGGTGCCCAGCGTCATGATCAGGTCCGTCTCGGGGCGGGGGAGCGGAGCGCGGGGCTGGCAGGCCCAGGGGGCGTCTGGGGGGCCGGGGGGCGGCGCTCGGCGGGGTCGGATCTCAGTGCCGTCGCCCGATCGGCAGCAGGCCAGGCCGGTTACGGACCCCGAGATCCACGGGGCCTCTGCTGCTCTGGTCCCCTTTTAGGATGGAGTGACTCTGCCTTGGCCTCATTCTTCTGCCAGCGCAAAGGGGGCGCCAGGGCAGCCGGTGATGAAGCCCAGAGCAAGGGCAGACTCCGAATTGGAGCCTAGCTGGGCTCCCCACAGAGGTGGCCCCGGCTGCTGACCCCCCCCCCCCGGCCCCCGCTCTTCCCCACAGCACCATCCTGGAGACGCCGGTGACCGACCAGGCCTTCCTGGAGCAGCTGCACGAGCTGAACAGCAAGGTCAACGCCGTGAAGGAGCAGGCCTTCCGCGAGACCATGGCCTGCGGCGACGTGACCGACGTCCTGGACAAGCTCAAGGCCAAGGTCGGGGGCCGCCCTGCCTCGACCCGACCCAGCTGGGGGGCCCCTGGCTCTCCTGGGCCGCTGCTCCCGTCAGCCCCGGCCATGCCGGCAGGAGCCGTGGCCCCATGCTCCGGGAGGGGGCCAGGCTGAGGAAGATGGCTTCGGCCCCGCGGGGCCGGCCTGGTGGGTCGGCCCGCCAGGCTCTGCCCGTGAGGGCAGGGTGGGCCGCATCCTGCTCCCAGCCGGGCAGCCGGCCCAGGCGCCCCCCCCCCCCGGGTTGTGCTGCGCAGCTTTGGCCCGTCCCTGCCAGTGCCGTGGGGCTGCTGCACAGAGGGAGGGAGGATCGGGATGCGGCAGCCGTGTGGGGCACTGCCGCGGGAGCCGGGGGGCTCCGACAGCCCTCCTGCCCGCCAGCCTCTGGCTTGGGCTCGGCCTTCCCCAGTTTCCTGCCGGCGAAATGCAGCCGGGTGTCGCTTCGGTCCCCGCTGGAGCCCCTCCTGGAGCCAGTGGGAATTTCGTGTGCAGCGACATTGCACCGAGCAGATGTCTGCATCTCAGATCTTGCCCTCCTCCGGCCGAATTCTTCCATGGCGCTCAGGAGTCCCCCTTAGGGGCCCGGGAGCGTGTGGGCGAAGGAACGCTCAGGGTTGCAGGCAGGGCAGGTGGCCCTGGGCGGAGTGCGCAGGCCTTCCGCGGGCCGTGGATTCGGGGCTCCCACGAGGCCGGGAGCGTCCTTCCGTGTCCTGCTGGCCGTCTGCAGGAGACGGCCGTGCGGCTGCCGGGTACGCCCCTCTCGGGGGCTCCAGCCCACACGGGGTGTGTGGGAAGGCGCTGGCCATGCGGCTGCGGGTGGGGAGGGGATCCGGCTGCTGCTCCCCCCGGCTGTGGGACTCGCCCTGCGTGGCCAGCCCAGGAGCCCCGGGGGAGGGTCTGGCGAGGACGGGGGCTCGGCAGGAGGTGCCCCTGTGGCCGCGTCCCACCCGCATCCTTCCGTCCCCCAGGCAGTGGCCAAGATCCGGGAGTTCATCCTGCAGAAGATCTACTCCTTCCGCAAGCCCATGACCAACTACCAGATCCCCCAGAACGCCTTGCTCAAGTACAGGTAGGAAGGTGCCCCGGAGCCGCCTGGGGTCCCCCACGCGCTGCGCAGGCCAACGGGAACGCAGCTCCGGCTCCCCCAGAATGCTCTGCTTCAGAGCCTTTTCCACCCGCCGGGCCCGGAGACCCGGCCCTGTGCGTCTGGGGTCCCCGGCACGCATTGCCCGCACGATCCTGGGGGCAGGAGGGGGCGGGGCTCCCTGCCACGAGGCTCTCGGGGGCGAGCCTCGCACCGCCTCTCCCCTGCCGCCCCCCCCGGCAGGTTCTTCTACCAGTTCCTGCTGGGGCACGAGCGCTCCGTGGCCAAGGAGGTGCGGGACGAGTACCTGGAGACCATGAGCAAGATCTACCTCAGCTACTTCAAGTCCTACACCAGCCGCCTCATGAAGGTGCAGGTGAGAGACGCGGGGCCGGGTGGACGGGGGCGGGGGGGGGCGGTCCCTACGCCCTGCGCCCCTTTCCCCGGGGGGCTCCTTCCCGATCCAGCCGGACCCCCGAATCCACGCAAACCTTTCCCGTTTCTCTCCCTCTTCCCCGCCTCCCGCCCTCGCAGTATGAGGAAGTGGCCGAGAAGGACGATCTCATGGGGGTCGAAGACACGGCCAGAAAGGATATCCTTGCGTTGTGGGGGGGCGGGGGGGGGCCAGGCCAGCTCCCAGCCGGGCATCCAGGCCTGCTTCCAAGAAGGGGCTCGAGTCCTGCTTGGAGCCTCCTTTCCTCCCTCTCCCAAGTGGGGGGCTGGAGGGCTGAGGGGGGGCCCTCCCTGGCTGTTTCCCTTGACCCGCCCCAGCACGCTTCTTCTCCAAGCCATCGCTCCGCAACCGCAATACAGTCTTCACGCTGGGCAACCGGGGCAGCGTGATCGGGGGGGCCGAGCTGGAGGGCCCCATCATCGTGCCCCACTCGGCCCAGAAGAGTGACGTCCGGGTGAGTGGCTGCCCGGCCTGCGTGGCCCCAGCGGCCTCGGCGCCCTCCCCCCCGGTCGCAGCACTCGCTGCTCCTTCCTCGGGGCTGCCTCGGTGCATTGGACCGTGGGCCATTGGATGGACTTTCCCGGCAGGCTGCTCGGTCCGGGGTACGCGGGGGACCCCTTCCTGCACCCGAGGGCCACACCGTCCCTGGACGGCTGCGCTTCCGGCTGCCCCGCATTCGCTCGCTCTTGGCCACCCGCTGGCCGCTGCCACGCGAGACCAGCTTGCCAAGGGCCTCGTTTGCCCCGTAAGAACCGGAGAACAGCCCTGCTGGATCAGACTGCGGCCCGTCCGGCCCAGCCCTCCATACGCACGGCAGCAAATCCACTGCCCACAGGATCCCGCCAACAGGACCGCGGAAAGTCGCGATGGCTTTCTTAAGGCCACGCGCAGGGCAGAATGCTTCTGCATCCAAGGCCTCGGCCCTCGGCGCCTCTGCAGCCTCGAGATGCTTTCCCTGCCGGAGCCGCAGCTGCAGGGAGGCGTAGGAACAGAGCGAGGCAGAAGGGGCCTCCCGGGCCATCAAGTCTGAACCCGGCTCCAGCTGGCTTCATGCACAACATGCCCACCCTGTGTATGTCCAGGCTGCCTTGAACCCCCTCACCGATGGGGCCTCAACCACCTCCTGGGGAAGCCCAGTCCATACCCTCAGGGTCCCGACTGTCAGGAAGTGCTTCCTGACATCTAAATGGAACCCTGATTCCCTGAACTTTGCTCTGTTGGAGCACGTCCTGCCCTCCTCTGCAGGGGAGAACAGGTCTCTCCCCACCTCCGTATGACACCTCCTCACATACCTGTATGTCGCCAACAGATCCCCTCTGAGTCTCCTCTTCTCCAGGCTGAAGAGACCCAGTTCCCTCAGTCTCGTCTCATACCCCATCCCCTGCAATCCGGCCACCAACCTTGGGGCCCTGCGCTGCACTGACTCCAACCTGGCTAGATCCTTCCTGTAATGAGGGGCCCAAACTGAGCACAATACTCCAGTTGCGGGCGCACCAGAGTCGTGTAGAGTGGTAGTGATACCTCTCTCGATCTAGAAGCCACACTTCTGGCTATGCAACCAAGGGTGGCGTTCGCCCTCTTGGCCACCGCATCACACGGCTGGCTCACGTTCAGCCTGCAGTCAACCTGCACCCCGAGGTCCCTTCCACAAGTGCTGCTCTCCAGCCACTTGCCCCCCAACCTGTCCTTGTGACCCCCAAGACCTGGCACTGGTCCACATTGAGTGCCATTGAGGCGCTGGGGGGCAAGGGGCTGCTGGGCGCATGGGTAGGGGCAGGGTGGGCAGTGGGAGGCTGGACGGGGTGTACCGGAGGAGGGCGCCCCCCACCACCCCGGCCGCAACGCCCTCCTGCCGCCCGCAGTACCCCTTCGAGTCGCTGTTCCGCAGCCAGCACTACGCCCTGCTGGACAACAGCTGCCGCGAGTACCTCTTCCTCTGCGACTTCTTCCTGGTGACCGGCACCCCCGCCCTGGACCTCTTCAGCGCTGTCATGGGCAAGACGCTGGCCATGTTCCTCGTGAGTGTGCCGGGCGGGAGCCTCGCGGGGCCCGTGGCCCGTGGGGGCGTCTGGCGTGGGAGGTCTGGGGCAGCCTGGCCCGTGGCTTTGCTCCATGAGCCGTTCCGAGCCCTGGGCCCCCTCTGCTCCCAGCCTGAGAGGCACGTGTGGCCGAGGGAGGCAGCCTTGCCTGCGCCCCTTCGCGAGCCCCTCCGTGGGAGCCCGGGGCTTGGGGGAGGGCCTCGCAAGAGGGAGGGTCAGCAGGGGAGCCCCCCGCCCGGCGTCCTGGCCCTGTCTCCTGGGGCCCCTGACCACAGGCTAGGCTGAGGGGGCAGCGGGAGGGCTGTGGGGTCCCCGCCCTGCCCTGCTCCGTGGGATGCAGGCGAGCGGGCCCCGCTGAGGCCTCCCCCAACCCGCCCCGCCCCGCCCCGCCCCACAGAAGCACATGGACGCCTACGTGAGCGACTGCTACGACGGCATCGCCATCTTCCTGTGCATCCACGTCGTCCTGCGTTTCAAGACCATCATGGCCAAGCGCAACGTCCCGGCCATTGACAAGTGAGTCAGGCCTTCCCGGGGGCGAGCGAGCGGGGCCTCTCCGGGGGCTGAGGGGCTGCTGCCACCCCGGACGCGCGAGCCCCCTGAGGCCCCTGCCCGGCCCGCATGCCGCCGGCTCCCCGCCGCACCCTGGGGGCCCCGCATCCTCCCGCCTCGCCTCCCCTCCCGCGCAGGTACTGGGACACCCTGCTGGAGATGCTGTGGCCGCGCTTCGAGCACATCCTGAAGCTGAACATCCAGAGCATCCAGAACACGGACCCCCAGAAGCTGGGCTTCCTGGACACGCGGCCCCACTACGTGAGTGCGGGGGGCTCTGCCGTGGCGCGCGGCCTGGCGAGGAGGGAGGGGAATCGGGCCCCCCGGGCAGGACGAGGCAGACCAGGCCGTCCCGGACGTCCAGAGCAGCGTCCCGGCAGGGAGCGGGCTTGGCAGCAGAGCAGATGGACGTGGGGGCCACTCGGAGCACAGGGGAGGCCTTAAAGCAGAGCCTGAATTGGGGGGGGGGGGATCCCAGTGGAGAGGCTGAAGTGGCACCCTGCAGCGTGTGGAGGCTGGACTAGATGGCCTCAGGGAGCCCCCTGCCAATGCCCTTGTTGCTTGCCAGTGGGGCCCTAGGGGAGGGGGTGGGCTGGCTGGAGGACTCTCCCCCCTGCTCCCTGGCAGCCGTGGGGCTTCTCTGGGCTCACCCGGAGAACTCCTTGCGACCCGGCGGTGCGAGGACGGACGGACGGATGGCCTCCGCGAGGCTCGCCGGCACGGAGAGGGCCTGCGGGGCGCCCCCAGGGAGGCCGCGCTGCCCCGTGCTCGGCCTGGCCGGCCGGGTGCCCACGGAGGGCTCGTCCCCTGCACTCGGGCGCCCGCCTGACACGGCCGCCATTCCAGATCACGCGCCGCTACGCGGAGTTCTCCTCGGCCATCGTCGGCATCAACCAGACCATCCCGCACGACTGCACTCTGGCTCTGCTGGGACAGCTGCAGGTGGAGGAACGCCCCCCCCCCCCGGGACGGGGCCTGGCGGGTAGGGTGGGGAGCCCCGGCTGAAGCCCTCCTCCGGCCCTTTTGGACACGGGACGCGCGGCCCCCGCGGAGCGGAGGCCCACCCGGAAGTGCCAGCCCAGAGAGGGCGCCTGGGCCCCCGTGGGGCCATGGAGCCCTGCCCTTCCCCAGTCGGCAGCGTCCCTGAAGGGCTGCGACGCTCCAGCCGCTGCCGGCAGGGCAGGCTCCCCTGGGCCAGCGCCAGGGCCGATCCGGTGGGAGGCAGCGCCTCAGGCTCCGGCTCGCTGTGGCTGCGGCCACTCAGGAAGCCCCTGCCAGCCAGCGAGCCCCACAGCTCTGGGGCTGCTGCTTGGGGGCCCGGGGGTCTGGCCCACCTGCACCCCTGACCGCCCCCCTCTCTCCCCCCTCCCTCCCCAGACCGAGGTGGAGAACTTCGTCCTGCGTGTGGCGGCCGAGTTCTCCTCCCGCCGGGAGCAGCTCATCTTTCTCATCAACAACTACGACATGATGCTGGGCGTCCTGCTGGTGCGTGGGGGGCTGTCCGTGGGGGGGGGCTGGGGGGCTGCCCCCGCCCCGCCCCACCTGCTGACACTGCCCCCTTGCTCCTCAGGAGCGCGCGGTGGAGGAGAGCAAGGAGGTGGAGGGATTCCAGCAGCTGCTCAGTGCGCGGACCCAGGTGAGCGGGCCGGGCGGGGGGGGGGGGGGGGGCCCCCGGGCCGGCGGGCGGACGCAGCACTTGGGGCGCGGCAAATGAGGGGGGAGGTCTGCCCCCCCAGGCTTGGCACTTGGGCACGAAGGCTTGCACCTTGGAGCGCCCACAGAGGGGCCCCAGCCGCCTGCAGGGAGCGTCCCTGGGTGGCGAGGGGGGACGGAAGGTCGCCGTCTCCTCTCAGCCCGGGCGCTGGAGCGGCCCTGGGGGCCTGGGGGGCTTCCTGTGCCTGACCACCCTCTGCCCCCCCCCCACCCGCAGGAGTTCATTGAGGAGCTGCTGGCCCCCGGCTTCGGGGGCATGATTGCCTTTGTGAAGGAGGCCGAGGCGCTGGCGGAGCGGGGCCAGCTGGAGCGCCTGCGTGGGGAGGAAGGTGAGTACCGGGGACGGGCGCCCCCGTCCCCCCGCGGTGGCGGGCGCTGAGCTCACCCCCCCCCCCCCCCGGGCCCCCCCCCCCCCCCCGTATCCTGCCCTGCCCACGCAGCCCGGGTGACCCAGCTGGTGCGCGGCTTTGCCGGGACCTGGAAGGCGGCCGTGGAGTCCCTGAGCCAGGACGTCATGCGCTCCTTCACCAACTTCAAGAACGGCACCTCCATCATCCAGGTGGGCCGCGGGGGGGTGGGGGGCGGGGGGCTGCATGTGGGGGATGCCGCTGGCAGCTGCGCCCGGACCGAGCCCTGGCCCCACTCCTCGCGCCGTTGCCTTGCCCGCATCAGGGGACGAGGCGTCCCTGTTGCCAGGGGGGCCTCCTCTGGGGCTGCCGGCCCCACTGATCCCCCCCCCCGGGCACACATCCCCTTCACTCCTGCCCTGGCTGGGCTCGATCTCTCGCCCGCACGTGGACGGGACCCTCCCCCCCACCACCTCCGACGCTGTAGGGGCCACCCACCCGTTCCGAGGGCCCCAGCGGCCTCCCCTGCCGCTCAGGGCGGGCGCTGGGGGGCTGAGCTCGAGCGGGCTGGGACTCGGGCCCGAGCGCCCCCCTCCCTCCCTCCCTCACCCGCCCCATCCCGCCCACAGGGGGCCCTGACGCAGCTGATCCAGTACTACCACCGCTTCCACAAGGTGCTGGCGATGCCGCCGCTGAAGGCGCTGCCGGTGCGCTCGGAGCTGCTCAACATCCACCACCTCATGGTCGAGGTGAAGAAGCACAAGCCCAACTTCTGAGGGGGGGGGGCTCGTGCCGGGGGCCCCCCTCGGAGCTGGGGGGCCAGGGGCCAGTGCTGGGGCACGTGCCCCCGTCTGTCTCTGTCTGTCCGTCTGTCCGCTTTCCTGTGTGTCGCTTTGTGCACTCACAATAAATCCCTTGCAACCCCGAACGGCTTTCCCGGGCTCATGAGCGGGAGGGGGGGGCAGGGTAGAGCTGGGGGGGCTGTGTGTGTGCGTGTGCAAGAGCGGGCGGGCGGGCTTGAGAGTGTCCCGGTCTCGCGCGTGTGTTTTGCACTTGGGAAAGACCGGAGGAAGCCGACCGCCGCTTGTCCATCCTTGGCTTGCTGGCAGCAAAAAGGGCCGGCCCAGCCTTCCCCAACCCGGTGCCCCCACGGCAGGCAGGCCGGACAGAGCGAGTCCCCACCGGCCATCAGGGGGAGGCTGCCCGGGTGGGGTCTCCAGGGCGCGAGGGCCCCCGCTCGGAGCCCTGTCCTGCACCTGCCCCTGGGTGAGGGGTTCCCATGAGACCCCGCCTGGGGCAGCTGTGAGCAAGCCTGGGCCTTGGGGGTCTGCTGTGTGACTCCCCCTCCGGGCTTCCCTGGGGCACTAGCCAAGTGCCCCCCGTCTCCCTACCCCAACCCCCCCAACCCAGCTCGCTCCCTGCCCCCCCAGTGCCCTCAAGGCCAGCCCCACCCCGCAGCCCCACAGCCTGTCTGGCCACCCACTCCCCCGAGCGACGGCCCAAGTCCCTCTTCCCCGGTGCCTTTTTGCAAAAGACCTGCAGGGGGGGGCACGAAGGACTCCGGGAGCCCCAGCCTCCCCCACGCAAATGCCTCCCACCCCCCTGAGGCTAAGCACCCCCAGCCGCACCCCACACGGCTCCCAAACCGAAGGCAGCCCCCGCGCCAAGTGGCAGCACCCCTGCTCCGGCGACAAAGCCTTGGGTGCCTGGGAAGCGGTTATTTCCACGGGGGGGGGGCAGGGGCCTTAGGAAAGCCACCCGGGCCGGTACTGAGTGCCGCCGAAGCGGAGGAGAAATCAAACGAGAGACCCACAGAAAGCAGCAAAATTGTAGATGATCTATTACACAATACAAGTTCCACGGTTACTTACAGATCGGTACACGGCGGGGGCGCCTGCTTCCGGCACCGGGGGCGCCCTTGCCGCTTTTTAGAAAACAAAAAAGCGAGGACTGGCTCGGGCGCCCCTAAAACTCTGAATCTGCAGGCAGCCAAGAGAGCTGGATTTATCTTTTTAACTTCCCGAGCACCAGAACTGCCCTGTGAACGTCCCCTCTTGCCCTTCCCGTATCTTAAAGACTGAGAACGCAGCAGGAGACAAAAAATAGTCTTTTTTTATATCCACTCCTTTAAATAATAAAATTAATTTAAGTTTTTTTATAAAACAAAATAAAATACACAGTTTCTTTTTGTCTTTGGACTGCTCTGGAGCGAACGGTACTCTCTCTGAAAGACACGGATCACTTTTGTGGCCGACAAGCAGGTGGGGGGGTGAGTGGCCGGCGGGGAGGGGGCACCGAGCTCGTGGGACTGGACCCCACCGCCCCTCATGCCCAGCTGCCTTGGAAAGTCTTCAAACCCTGTAAGGAGCCCCCCCCCCCATTGGGAGTGAGCTCACCCTAAGCGTGAAACCAGTGGGGCGTAGGGAGGGGGTGCTCTGGGGTGCCCTTCTGGGGGAGCCACCGAGAACCAGGTGCCACCCCTGCCCCTGTGGGGAGGGGCCTCGCACCGGGGTCTCCCACGCCTTCGGGGGCTGTGGTGGGGCTTGCTCCCTGCGAGGAGAGGCCCAGATTTAGGGTGCATCCTTCAGGGGCCACACGGGGACCCCTGAAGGGGCCGCCCAGCCGGTGCGTCTCAGCCCCGGGCCCGCGTCGCATGCTTCCCCTGGGGACAGCCGGGAGGCCCCCAAGAAGGGCAGCCAGCCAGCCCACGGGGGTGAGGGGGGCCAAGCTGCCCTCGTGGGGCGGGGGCAGCCGGGGCATGTCGCCGCAAGCGGGCTTCGGGGCATTCCTCTCCAGCGGCTGGCGAGTTTGGCTGTGGTGCATCGGTGGGGGACACGGGGCTGGCGTGAGTCCGTGGCACATGTGGGGGGTCGGGGGGGCGCCGGTCGCTGGGGCGGGCAGGCGGGCGGGCGGGGGTCCTCCACGCAGCGATGCGCCCGGGTCTCGGTCTCTGGCCGGCCGGCTGCGGCCTCGGTCGCCTGGTCCGCCCCTGGCCGTGCCTCCGGGGGCCGCGCTGGAGGGTCCCTCGAGGGTCGGCTTGCAGAGGGAGGGGCGAGGCGGCCCAGGCCCGGGGGCTCCGCTCTAGCCGAGGAAACAGGCCGGCCCCACCGCGAAGCCGAACTTCTGGCCGGGCTCCCCGAAGTCGGCCACGCGCACGTCCAGCAGGGGCAGCTGCGCCACGGCCGGCGTGTTCACCTCCAGCAGGGTCTCGGCGGGGCCCTTCCGCGCCTGCGGGGAGAGGCGAGCGCACTCAGCCGAGGGCAGGGCCGGCCCCGAGGGGCTCCCCTGCGCCCCGGACTGTGCCCCGACCCTTCTCCACGGTCTGGCGCCGGGGACCGGCCCCAGGCAGCCTTCCACGCTCTCCGCCAAGGAAGCTGAGCTGACCCCGAAACCTCCTCCTCCAGGGTTTAAATTGCCCTGAAAGGCTGGCCGCGTTGGGGCACCGCAGCAAAAAGCGGTTCCAGCAGGGCAGTGAAGACATTGAAACATTGGACAAGTCAAAAGGGGTCTGCGGGGCCATCTAGTCTGCCCCCGGCTCCAGCCAACTCTGCTCATAGAAACATAGAAACAGAGCAAGGCAGAGGGGGCCTCCCAGGCCATCTAGTCTGACCCCGGCTCCAGCCGGCTCTGCTCACGACATGCCCACCAAGACGAGGGCATCCGCTCCACCGCAGCAGCTGCGCAGCCTCATTTTATGCTGGGCAGCATAAAACGAGGGCAGAAAGCCCAGACGGGGCCGGCAGTGGCCATTCAAGGGCCGCTGCTGATCACACGGTCCTGGGGCTGGGAACGCGCGTCAGCCCCGGCGGTCCAGCACGGTCCTCGTGACCGGCAAGCCAGAGTCCGGGCCACACATGGGCCCCGCTGCATCGTGGGTTGCCGTCGCGAGCGACCCGTGCGCCACGGTTCAACCACGGGCAGATGGCCACCATCGACCCGGAGCCCGCGTGGCTTCTCTCCCGGGTTGCTCGGGCTCAGCAGCCCCCGCGCAGCCCAGAGCAGCTGGAGCGAGGACGAGCCTGCCTCCCCCAAGTTCCCTGGCGTCCTTTGCAGCACCAGGTGAAAAGCCTTTTATTTTCCTGGCATTTGAGCATCTATCTTTGGAACTCTGGGTTTGGATTTAGCACTTTATTTCTATATATTGCTGCTCTGCTTCTGTGCTGAATGATAGTAGTGGCTATTCTGGGTTGGTTCTTTTCAGACTAATGGGTGTGTGTGTGTGTGTGTGTGTTCAACTTTTGTTTAGTTTTCATCCTTGTTAACAGCCCAGAGAGCCTCAGCTTTCGGGAGGTATGGAAGTGAGCCAATTCAATAAACTGATCACTAATTAGGGGATGGGGCTGCGGGGGCCCTGCATGGGATGGCGCACGCCTCCAATTTTGGGGACTCGGAATTGCTTCCGCTGGCCTGGGGGCCTCAGGAACGGGCCGGGCTAGCACCCCCGGGACCACTGGCCCTCGCTGCCCCGGGCCGGCTGGGGCCTCCCTTCTGCCCCCTTCCCGGAAGCAGGCGATGGGGCCCCCTGGGGGTTTCACGGCGTTCGCCCCCAGACCCTTCCTGCCTTCCCCAGCCCATGGAGCAGCGCCGGGCTTCCCTTCGGCCCCCGGAGATCCCCCGGTTGTGCCCTCCCCGGGGCGGCCCCCGGCCCGCCCGCCCAGGGGACTCACCGCGCAGCCGTCCTCCAGCGCCTTGACGAAGGGGCTGCTGTCGTAGCTCAGGTCCTCCTCGTTGGCGCCCAGGAAGTGCAGGGCCCGCTGGTGCCCCCCCGGGCTGTGCCAGGCGGCCGAGCGCTGGCAGCGGTAGGTGAAGTTCTGCCGGGCCGAGAGGCTGAGCAGGCGCAGGAAGGCCAGCTGGACGACGCCGAGGGGCTGCCCGTCCGCGTCCACGTAGGAGAACTGCGGGCGACCGGACGGGGCCGTGAGTGCCCCCCCGTCTCGACCGGCGGCCCCAGCAGAAGCCCCCCACCACGGGCAGGATCAGGGCGCGAGGCTCTGCCCACGGAGCCAATGCCCCACGGAAGAGGCAGCCGACCCTCGTGCCCGGCCCGGGGGGCAAACGCCGGGCAGTCCACCTGGTCGCCCTGTGCCTGGCAGACCGCCTGCGAGGGGCCTTTGGCCATTCAGCCCCCCCCCCCCCCCCCGTGTGGATCCCCTCTGCCCCTGCCCGGCCCTGGAGGTGTGCTCAGGAACACGGGAGCTGCCCGAGAACCTCCCACTCCAGTCCAGGACAAGCCGGACCCGAGCCTGGAGAAACCCCGAAGGCCAAGGCCGAGCGCGCCGAAGCGGGGCAGAGAAACCAGGCCGGGCGGGTGGCTGCCCCCGGCCCTGAGCGAGGGGGCCCGGCCTGCGGGCGACCCCCTCCTGGGGCCAGCTCACCTTGCTTCCTTTCTGGAACTGGCTGAACCAGCGCGGGGGCGTCTCTCCCTCCCATGCGGCCACAGGCACCTGGACAAGCGAGACAGAGGAAGAAGCAGAGAAACCGAGCGAGTCAGAAGGGGCCTCCGGGCCATCTAGTCTGACCCCGGCTCCTCGGGGTCCTGACTGTCTGGAAGTGTCTGCCGCGAGGGCTCGCAAGCACTGCGGGCCCGGGCCCCCGGAGGAAGCTGCCCGCCTCCTGTTCCTTCACGGGACCTTCCTGATGGGGCACATGGGCACTCCCCCTTGGCCTCCTGCAGCCAGCCATCCCATAATTCTCATGGCCGCTCTTGGAGCATCACAGTGATCCAAGGATTATTCACCCCCAGCATGCATAAACCGCCTTCCTCTGCGAGGGACCCCTGGGCTGCGTGTATCCAGCGTCGGTGTCACCCTGTCGCATTTCCGTCTCTCTCTCCACCCGAGAGGAACCCAAGGGGGCTGACGCTGCCCCCCACAGCATTTTATGCTTGCAACAACAACCTTGTGAGGGAGGCCGGGCAGAGAGTCTGACAGGCCCTGGATCTCCCCGTGAGCCACATGGCTGAGTGAGGAGTCAAATCGGGATTTCCAGGGTCCGGCAAGCGAACCACCCGGCCACGCTGGCTCTCCGAACACAGAAGCAATCTCTAAAAGCCGTATCACTGCGCATTAAAGGAACGGCTCCTCAGCCGTTTGAAAAGCCAAACAATCCGGCTTTAAATGGAAACATTTCGTGCTGACACGGGAGGGCGAAACACGACCTTTCATGGTGGACATGTCATGAGCAGAGCCGGCTGGAGCTGGGGTCAGACTAGATGGCCTGGGAGACCCCTTCTGCCTCGCTCTGTTTCTATGTTTCTCTGAGCAGAGCCGGCTGGCGCCGGGGTCAGACTAGATGACCCGGAAGCCCCTTCTGCCTTGCTCTGCTTCTATTTATGTTTCCATGAGATGCGCACCGCAGGTCCTTCGGCGAGACTCCAGACTGGAGGGGCCAAGACACTTGGGCATTTTCTCTCTGGGTTTGGGCTCAGGGAAAAAGCAGGCCCACGAGTTTGTGGTGGGATCCGCGGCACAGCTGGCCACTCCTGGGGTGTCAGCAGCTGCCTTGCCTCTCACGGGGACCGCTTTGCGCTTCCGGCCGGCGAGTCCAGCATCCCCTCCAAAGGTGGAGACCTTCAGGCACCGTGTGGCTCGCCATGGGGCCGCCAGGAGAGCTGGCCCCCCTCCCGGCCTCCCGCGCTGCTTACCTCCCGGCTCTCCCGGCTGGGGAACACGCACGTCTCGCCGCCAGCCGTGAAGTTACAGTAGACCTTGAAGGAATCGCGTGCACAGCCCTGGTTGGGGTCGATCCAGTACTCGCCTAGAAGGGGAGAGAGCGGCTCCAGTCTTGCCTGGCTGCGGAGGCCTCCTCCCCCCCGCGAGGATGGAGCCCGTGGGCCCGGCCAGTCGCCTCCCCCAGGTGGGTCCCCTCCCCCAGCTCTGCCAAAGCTGTGTCTGCGCTGTGCCACAAGCTCTCGGTGCCCTGGCGACCGTCCTTTCATAAATGCATCGTCTTGTCTCTTAATGGATTCATTTCATATTTCTTACTGCTTCATATTGAGAAACAGAGCGAATCGGAAGGGGTCCCTGGGCCATCTAGTCTGACCCCGGCTCCAGCCGGCTCCGCTCACGACGTGCCCACCATGCGTATGTCCAGCCTGTCCTCGAACACCCCCACCGGTGGGGCCTCAACCACCTCCCAGGGAAGCACAGGGTGGGCATGTCGTGAGCGGAGCCGGCTGGAGCCGGGGGTCAGACTAGATGGCTCGGGAGGCCCCTTCCGACTCGCTCTGCTTCTCTGTTTGTCCATCTTGTTCTTGGAATGCTAGAATTTGTAATCCAGACATCAAAATCTGCATGCTGAACCTTGGCCCAGTTTCCCTTTGCTGTTCGAGGGCTCGGCTGCACTCAGGGCCACCGGAAGGAACGCGGACACCGGGCAAGAGGCCTTCGCTCTGATCTGGTGCGGCTTCTGGCTGCCTGGGTCCTTCTTCAGGAGGAAGGATCTCCCTCCGTGGGTTCATTTAGAAATGCTGCTTTGCTTCATCCAGAGGCCCGAAGCTTGGCTCACTTGCTCGAGCTGCCTGTTCTGCCCCCCCCCCCCCCCCCCTTCCTCCCCCCCCCCGGGGACAAAAAGGGGGGGACCCCCCCCCCCCCACCGGCAGGCCCGGTGGCCGGCCCCCACACCCACCGTCGGGGAGCTCCGGGCGGCAAAGGTGCAGGTCCTGGCAGGTGCGGGCAGGGCTGTCCGGCGTGCCCAGGGGCTTGCGCATCAGCTCAATCTCCTCCCGCAGCGAGTGCAGGGAGCCGTGGACCTCCTCCAGGCCCCGGGGGGCCCCGCGTCCGGCCGCGTCCGACGCCATCTCCTCCTCCGGTACGATCTGGCTGGCGTCGACGGAGCGCCGGCTCTTCCTGGGCCGCTGGATGGGCAGCGGCTGGATGACCTCGCCCGGGGGGCCCTGTGGCAGCGGGGCGGGGGCAGTGAGAGCGGGACGGGCGGATTGGGGCCCCAGCGCCCGCCCCCACTAGCCTCTGGTGGGGGGACCGGCCGGGCAGGGGCATGAAAGGGAGGCCCGGGACCCCCAAGCAGCGCTGCTCATCGGGGCGCCGCAACGGGGGCTTTGGGGCAAATCACACATCTGCATCCTGGGGCCTTGTTTCAAAACTGGAATCCCGTCGTTTCGAGCTTCGCTGGGAAGCCCACTGGCTTGGCAGGCAGGGCGCGGGGTGGAAGTGCTATAGAAAACCCAGGTTTTAGGTACTGTTTGCACCGAAATTTTAGGTACCGGAATGTTTCAGGTCCCGAGATTGAACTATTCATCTTGCCGGATTCGGTCGGTACACCCGACGGCCGAAACCATTTTATTTAAACAGTATTTTCAAATTTAACAGCTTTTAATCTTCAGCCGCTCTGCTTGTGTTGTGATTTATCGTTCTGTTCTGTTCTATTATTTATTGAAATTGTTGTTTTAAGAGTCCTTTTAAATAGGGTAAGCCATCCTGAGATCTTGTATAATAGGACGGCATACAAGAGCTTTTAATAAATAAAAAAGAAATATTTCCGCCTGAAGGCCACGGGGAGCTCCGCTCGGAAGCGAGGATGACGGCTGTCCTCCGTCTGTGTGGGCCCACACGCCTAGACCGTTCGGGTGGGGTGGGGTGGGGTGGGGTGGGGGGCTTACCGGCTGCCCGGGTGGTCCGGGGACCCCTCGCTGGCCTTTGGGTCCTGCTTGACCCTGGAAGGAGAAGCCAAGAGGTTAGCGCTCTGGGAGGGAGACCAGGGCGTTCACTCGCTCGCTCGCTCGCTCACCCGCCCTGCAGGTGGGGGGCTGTGTGGGATGGGGGGTCCTCACCGTGGCTCCTTTAGCGCCTTGGGGGCCGGGGGGACCCTGGAAAGGAAGAAGAGGTCAGTCCTGCCACTCAAGGAGGGAGGGAGGGAGGGAGGGGAGAGGGGGGAGGGAGGGCCAGAGGGCCGGAGGCACTTACGGGAAGTCCGGGGGGCCCACCGGGGCCGATGGGGCCGGTCGGGCCGGAGATGCCCTGTGGGGAAAGAGCAGAGGAAGAACGTGACCCCCAAGACCCAGGGATCCGGGCTCCCACCCCGTCCGCCCGCCCACGGCAGACCTGACCGAGCGAGGATGGCCCCTGAGCCCCCAGCCCCTCACCCTTCCCTTTGCAAGCTCCCCTTGGAGCCATGGGGCGCCCCCAACCACTGGGATGTGGGGCGAGTGGCAGGAGGCGGCGTTCCGGCTGGACCTCCGGAAGAGCGTCTGGACCACCAGCGCGGCACAGCAAGGGGACCCCCACCAGGGAGGCGGGGGGCTCCCCTGGAGGCCTCCAGGAGGCAGCGGGGCAGCCCTCGGACTCTTCCGGCTCGCCTCTCGTACGGCTTCCATCATGGGAGGGGGGCGGCCGAGCCTCACTGGGCGGCAGTGTGGGACCCTTCTGGTGGCGCCCCCTCCCTCGGGAACGGTGGCCACCCTGCCACGGGCCAAGCCCTGAGCATCATGTGCTTCCGTGCCCTGGGTTCTCGCAAGCACGGTGGCTTGTCTGATCGTTGGCTCTGAACCGCTCCGGGATGCCGGAACGAACGGATGGGGCCGGACCCAGCTGTCCGCCTGGAAGCGCGCAGCTCCCCGGCTTTCCGTGCTTTTCCGGGGGTGCACCCGCTCCATGCCTGGCAGCCACAGAGATGGGCCGCCGCAGCCCGGCTGGGTGGATCCGGCTGGCTGCCGGGGATGATGGGAAGTTCTGCAGCTGAGGGTGTCTCCGCGGAGAGCGTTCCGCCCGCCGCCTTCTGGACTGCTCGCCCCGAGATCTTAGCCAAGGGGCCTTCACAGGGCTTGGCGTCCGGGTGGCCACGGATGCTTTGGCGGCAGATGTCCTGCCCTGGCGGCAGCCGGAGGCGGGTCCGGGTGGCCCCGGGGTCCTCCCGTCCCCAGAGGAGCATGAGAGAGAGCCAGGTGCACACTGCTCAGGACTAAAGGGCCGCGGAGCAGCAGGTTCCTCGGGAAACTGGACTCGGGTGCCACTGCGACTTTCCCAACTGTGCATAATGCGCATGCCGGACAGGAACTATGGGCATGATTTGCTCGAAATTCTGCTTTTAACGAGTTTTCTTTCACAAGGAAAATTGTTCTGGGAGTCAAGCCCGGCTTGCATGCTTTCTGAGAACGGCGGCTGCATTTCTGGCTCTTCCCCCGGCTGGGATCCCGGCAGCCCCCGTCCCCAGCTGGCCTCTCGGCCCCCGGTACTCACAGTCTCTCCCTTGTGGCCCTTGCTGCCCAGGGGGCCGGGCAGGCCGCGGTCTCCCTTCTCCCCCTGCTCTCCCGGCGGTCCGATGAGGCCGATGAGGCCGGGGTGGCCCTGCGGGAGAGTCGCAGGTTACTGGACGGGCCTCACCCTCCGGAGAGCCCAGGCGGGCGGGCGGCCGGCCCATTTCACCCCAATTTCCCCCCGGCTCCGTGCCCCCTTGCCCAGATCCCGCACAGGCCCCAGTGCCGCCCCAAAGCCCCCCACGGCCCCCGCACGCCCTCTCGCTGCTCCCACGCTGGAGAGATTCCTGCTCTCGCCCATCCCGGCCACTGCCTGGGAAGCCCCGGCCCATCCTCCTTCGTGGGACACCTTGCGCCCCTCCTCGCACCAGTGGAGGCTGGCGGAAAGGCCGGGGCATCCCTCTCTGGCCTTCCCTCTTCTGCAGCCAGCAGAGATTCATGGGCTACTAGTCTTCTAGAGCAGCCTTCCCCAGCCTGGCTGGGGATGCTGGGAACTGCGGTCCAACACGCCTGGCGGTCAGTACCCTGGGGAAGGCTGGTCTGCAGCCCTGTGACGCCAGCAAGCGATCAAGCCGGCCGGAGCAGAAGGGACGGAGCGATCTGTCCCACCTCCACAGTCCCTCACTCGCCTGCGTGGACTTTCCGATCGCCGGTAGCGACCAGGCCAAGGCGGAAACGCAAGACTGGCAAGGTAAGCATGGAAGCGTCCTCTCACCTTCTCTCCTTTGCGCCCGGAGTCCCCTCGCAGTCCTGGCAAGCCGGGGGGGCCCTGTGGGAAGAGACCAGGCCAGGGATGATGCCGGCTCCCCCCCCGCCAGCCAGCCCGACCCTGCTTCCCACCCCACGCCCGGCCCACTCCCCCAGCCAGCCAGCCAGCCAGCCAGCCACTCACCGCTGGCCCTGGGGGCCCGGCCTGTCCTGGGGAGCCCGGCTTGCCTTGTGCCCCCTGCAAGGGAAGGGACAGAGCATTCAGAAGTGCCCCCCAGCCTATCCTACTCACCCCTCTGCCCACAGAGGCCCGCTCCTGCCCCCCAATCCCCATCGCCCTCCGCAGGCAGGCAGGGAACCAACCGGGCAGGCACCTTCCCACAGCAGGGCGCCCTCCCGGCCAGGCTCTTGCCTCCCTGCCATTCCCTTCCCTTTCCCTGCTCAAAGTCCTCCCGCAGAGCCCCCCGAAAGCCTTTGCCCCCCCCCCCGCTGGCCCACCTCCCCCACAGAGGCACCCCGGTGAGCCTGCCCCTCCCCTGAGAGTCCAGGCACCCAGGCCCGGCCCCTTACCACGGATCCAGGGAGGCCCCTCAGCCCGTCGGTTCCTGGCTTCCCGGGAGCTCCCTGCGGGCCCACCGGCCCGGTCTTCCCGGGGGGTCCCAGCGCACCCGGTTCTCCCTAGGAACGGCAGAGCGGAGAAGTGGTGGCCGGCATACACCTCGCCTCCCCTGGCCCACCGAGTCCACCGTGCTAAGCACCCCCAGGCGGCTCTTCCGCAGCGTCCCGTACGCCGGCCGGAAATTTTGCACAGCTCCCCCGGGAAACCTCTAAACAGAGCCCACATTTGCTCTCTGCTCTAAACCTCCGATTTATTTCTGATTTAATCCAGCGGTCCTAACTTCCGAGAGGAAGCATGTGGGGGGGGGGGGGCGCAATGCCCCATCCAGAATCTCCCCCTTTTCCACCCCCAGCAGGATGCTCAGCGGGGGCCCAACGGCCGTGCGCACGCACTTGGATGGGATCCCCAGGCGGCAGGAGAGATGGAGGGCTCTGGCGGGAACGAGGGGTGAGGCTCAGAGGAGGGGGAGCGGAGAGTTGTCCCAGTGGCGGCTCAGAGTCCTCACTCTGAGACGGGAGCTGCTGAGACCAGCAAGGCCCTGGCGGCCCAGACTCTCCCAGGAGCGCGGGATCAAGCCCTTCCAGGACAGGATCCCCCTCTGAGCCCGCTCCCACACCTGATGGTGGGGAACAGGCTGCGGAGGGTTCCTCGGGAGGAGAGTTCGACACCCCGGGAGACGTGAATGCGAGGGCCCCTTGACGCGCCCGCCGGCTGGACCACTCCGGGGCCCCGGTGCGCCCGCTCCCATGGCGCGCCCCCTCCAGAGACCAGCCCCGAAGGGATCATAAGCAGTGCTTTGGGTAAAGGGGGGCAGAGCGAGGGCTCAGCTCTCTACCCGGAGTTTGTGCTCCAGGGTTTGTGAATACCTGGCAGCTGTGTGGAATAAAGACCGTCTTAATTATTACGGGAGTGCTTGCCGTGTCTGGGAGGGGACGCCCAGCTCATGGCACCGACCGCCCTCTTGGCTCGCTCTCTTTGGGAGAGCAGAGCTCCCGGAGTTGGGGGGACGCGGCATCCTGGACCGAGGGCCCGGGCGTGGGAGCTCCCTGCTCCGGCGTCACCGCACTGCCTGTCTGAGACGAGCGGCCTGCTCGCGAGCAGAACGTCACGCTGCCCTTTCGAGCAGCACCCCCAGGGCCGCTTCCGGGCCGTGGACCAAGCCTGTCAGGGGTCTGATGCCTCCCTTTGGGAGCTGAATTCCAGGTCTGCCTTTGCCTTTGCCGTTTGCGCTTCCCGCCTTTCCGGTTACGGGAGAAAAACCAAAGCTCGCCTTGCGGAAACTTTCGCCTTAGCAGACCTGCCCTTTGGCCATCGGGGGGGCGGGGGGGAGGCGCTCGGCTCCGTACGATGAGCAGCGACCGGAATTGGGGAAGGGGGTCCCACGGAGGCAGCCTCCCTCAGGCCGCCTGGGGGGTGCGAGGGCGAGGGAGCCACCCCTTCTGCCCCGGGAGAGGGTGGGAGCGCGGCCCCTGCGTGGCGAGGGCCACGCGTGCGATGGGGGCACATCCCCCCCGGGGCGCCGGCTGCCCCTTCCCTGCCCTCGGCTGGCGGCTGAGCCGCATCCTCCAGGCCGCCCCCCTGCCCGGCTGCCCCTGCAGCCTCGAGGCTCCTCGGCAGCCGGCGGGACACTCACCTTTTTGCCTTTCTCCCCCTGCCGTCCCTCGGGGCCGCGGGTGCCGGCCGGGCCCTGTGGGGAGATGCGGCGAGATGGCAGTCAGCGTGGGACCCGGGCGATGCGGCAGCCCCCCACCCCACCCTCCCCAGGACAGGCTCCGCCAGGGGTCCAGGGTGGAGGCGGCTGGTCCTCAGGACCCTGCGCCACCTCCAGGGGCCGTGTGCCTCCTCACAGCAGTTGCCGGGGAACGTGGGCGAGAGGACGCTTTGCGTCCGGTCCTGCTTGCAGATGCGCTCCCCGGGAGGGTGGAACATGGGCCACGGAGCCTGGGCTCCTCCGATGGCCTTGTGCCTGGCGGGCAGCTGGTCCCGCTGGTCCGGGGGAAAGGCTCCAGGAGGGGACGGCAATTCCCTTGCTGCAGCAGAGTCGGGGGCAGGCCCCACCAGGAAGGGGTCTGTAGCACCAGGCTTGGCCCTGCCACCCCCGCCCCCCCTCAGGGCTTGGGGGTGCAGCATCGGGGCCGGTGCTGAGCCGGCCAGGGACCCCGGCCTGGCACGAGGGCAGGCGCAGGCGCCCTCCTGACGTGACTTTGGGAAGCGCCAATATTCTGATATTCTGTCCAGCTCAGCCCTCCCTGACCAGGAGCCCCCTGGATGTGCGAGAATACAACCCCCATCATCCCCAGCCAGCACAGCTGTTAGTTGGCTCAATGGAATGTACTTCCCAGAGAGTTACGCCTGGCGCCAAGCTTATCCTCTTTTCGGCGCCAGGTCAAAACCTTTTGATTTAAACGGCATTTTAAAATCAATCGCTTTTAATGCTGGGTCGCTCTTGTTCTGTTTTGTGATTTATGGTTTATTATTTTATATATTATTACTGTTCCAATTTGCCTGTTTGAAGTTGTTGTTGTTTGAAATTGTTTTTCAAGCACTGTAAGCCGTCCTGAGGTATTTTCATACTAGGATGGCATATAAAAGCTTTGAATTAAGAAATGAAATTAATACTGGGAGTTGAAGTCCGACGCATTCTGAGGGCGCCTGGTTGGGGAAAGCCACTCGAGAGCATCTGGGGTTCAGGCCCCCGGCCAGAGGCCCCCTTAGCAGGCCAACAACTCCGTCTCTTTTTTTGAATCACATGGGTCGCACATCTTGGGGCCTGTTTTTCTCAAACCCGAGAGCAAAATCCTTGCTAAAAGCCCATTTCCATCAGGAGCGGATGACGGGGCAAAGGAAGGGCAACAGTCCCCGAAGCTCAGCGGATCGGCCTCAACGAGGTCCAGACACCCCAGCCGCGACTTACCCTCTTTCCCAGCGGGCCGGGGGGGCCGTTCTCGCCCGTGGGACCAGGAGACCCCTGCGGGGAGAGGGAGAAAATCAAACCAGGCCAGCGTAGCACCAGCTCAGTGCTCGCTGGGAGGAGAGGAAGGCCCCGTCCGGTGGGTGGCCTGCGTGAAGGGCTCTGATCGCCGTCCGGCTTCGGTTTGGAAAACAGGGCGAGGGGATGAGGCCCGGAGCCGCCGTGGGCCGGGGGCAGCAGAGGACTGGCTCGGAAGCAGCCGCAGGTCACCTACCGCTTCTCCGGGCTCGCCGCTTTCCCCTCGGTCGCCCTTGGCTCCGTCTTGGCCCTGTTGGAGAGCAGCAAAGGCACGGTTGGCCGGGGCCCCGATCCTCACGCCTCCTCCACGGAGGTGGGGAAGGGGCCGGTGGCCAGGAGGACGGGGGATACTCACCCGGGGTCCCATTTCGCCGGGGGGGCCTGGATCGCCGGGAAAACCGACGGGACCCTGATGGAGAGGAAGGAGACCCGTTAAGCCCCAGCCTTCCCGGTCCCCAAGACGTAACTGGGAACACACAGGTGTGCCCAGCTTGCTCTGGGAAGCGACGGTGGAACGGACCCATCTTGCAGCTCCGAACAGGTGGGAGAGGCCCCTTGCAGGTGATAAGGAATCAAAGAATCGCCTGCATCGGTGGGGGTGTTCAAAGATAGGCTGGCAAGGTGGGCAGGTCGTGAGCGGAGCCGGCTGGAGCTGGGGTCAGACTAGATGGCCCGGGAGACCCCTTCTGCCACGCTCTGTTTCCATGAGCAGAGCTGGCTGGAGCCGGGGTCAGACTAGATGGCGCGGAGGCCCCTTCTGCCTCGCTCTGTTTCTATGTTTCTGTGAGCAGAGCCGGCTGGAGCTGGGGTCAGACTAGATGGCCCGGGAGACCCCTTCTGCCTCGCTCTGTTTCTATGTTTCTATGAGCAGAGCCTGCTGGAGCCGGGGTCAGACTAGATGGCCCAGAGGCCCCTTCTGCCTCGCTCTGTTTCTATGTTTCTATGAGCAGAGCCGGCTGGAGCCGGGGTCAGACTAGATGGCCCGGAGGCCCCTTCTGCCTCGCCCTGTTTCTATGTTTCTATGAGCAGAGCCGGCTGGAGCCGGGGTCAGACTAGATGGCCCAGAGGCCCCTTCTGCCTTGCTCTGTTTCTATGTTTCTATGAGCAGAGCCGGCTGGAGCCGGGGTCAGACTAGATGGCCCAGAGGCCCCTTCTGCCTCGCTCTGCTTCTGTGTTTCTCTGAGTAGAGCCGGCCGGAGCCGGGGTCAGACTAGATGGCCTGGAGACCCCTTCTGCCTCGCTCTGCTGCTATGTTTCTGCAGAAAAAACGTGGGTGGCTGATTCTATTTGTTACAGGCAGCACGGTTTGAGTGTAATATTTCTGGGAGCTTTGGATGCTGCTGGAGTGTGGCTTTCCACTGGACACACGCCACGGTTTTCCAGAGGGGCATCGGTTTGCGAGGAAGAGCATTGCTCCCCAGCCGGATCAAGCAGACGTGCGTGTTTTTGAAACCATAAACACGCGAAGAACCGGCAGCGTTAAAACCAGGGCGCCACGGCCAGCCCCCCCCCCCCGAGCCCCCCCCTCCGCCCCGACCGCCGCAACAGGCCACTTACGGGGTTGCCCTTGGGGCCGTCATCTCCGCGGGGGCCTTTTCCGCCCGGGGGCCCGGGCACCCCGGCAGCTCCGGCCTCTCCTTTCTCCCCCCTTTCGCCCCGTGGGCCCTGGGAGGAGAGAAACGGCGGTGAGTCACGGCAGCCGCACGGAAGCCCCGCGTGCTCGGAGGGGCCGTTCGAGGGGACGAGCCCGGTCCCGCTCAGGGGAACGGCCCAATCCAGGCCTGGTTCTGTCTGGGACGTGCGACGGACGCGGGGAACCGGACGCAGGGGTGGGGTCTTCGCATCGGGGCGATGCGGCCGGCTCCCTGTCTGTCCAGCAGGCCTCCAGGCCTGGGAGTCTCACCCGTGCCCCAGTCATGGTGCGTGCTGGATCGTGCGGGGGCTGGGTGGGGGCACGGGGTCCCGGCTCTCCTGGGGTGCCCTCCAGCCATGCGCGTAGAGCGGTACGCAGGCCCGAATGGCTCGTGGGGAGAAGCGGGGAGCCTCACCTTTCCTCCAGGCTCTCCGGGGACCCCGGGACCCCCTTGCTCGCCGGGCTCGCCCTGAAACGGGAGGAGGGGGTTAGCAGTCCAGTCCCACTACAAGCGCTCCCCCCCCACTCCCATCTTCGGCTTCTTCACTGCCCACGTTTATTCGAGTAATTGGCATCCGCCCCGTAAACGGTCTGGAAATGGCTGACGATTCAGGCAGCCCGGTGCAAATAAGCAGGCCTGCCCCAGAAGGCAACCCATAATAGGCAAAAACGGACAGAAATGGCAGGAAGGGGAATGATCCACTGCATGCTTGCAAGAGGAAGGCTCCGGCTTGTCCCTCGTACCCCAGAACTGGTGCTGGGAGGAGACATCTCTGAGGAGCCCGAACCCCAGAGCTGGGCACCCTCACAGAGGAGACGCCTGCCCTCCAGGGAGATCTGCAGCTCAGCCCCAGACCCGGGAAAAGCGGCAGAGCCCGAAGCCCCTCCCCACCAGCCAGCCCCCTCCTCATGCCACACTCTCCGCAGGAAGCCCAGGACTTCTGGCTCCCGGCCCCAAGGAGCCCGGCTGCCGGCCACTTACCTTCTGCCCGGGGGGACCGAGGTTTCCGATGCCTCCTGGGGGGCCTTGTGGACCCTGCGGTGCGGGGAGAGATCCAGAATTTGTTACAACTGATGTCAAACATTAACAGACTTCAGGACACTCGAACACCTTGAACTGTTTCTGTGCTGTGCAGGATCCCTTTATTTGTACCCCAAAAATACTTTGAAAAATTTCCTGACAGTCAGGACCCCGAGGGTGTGGAATGGGCTTCCCCGGGAGGCGGTTGAGGCCCCACCGGTGAGGGTGTTCAAGGACAGGCTGGACGTGCACATGGCGGGCATGTCGTGAGCGGAGCCGGCTGGAGCCGGGGTCAGACTAGATGGTCCGGGTGACCCCTTCTGCCTCGCTCTGTTTCTATGAGCAGAGCTGGCTGGAGCCGGGGTCAGACTAGATGGCCCAGAGGCCCCTTCTGCCTCGCTCTGTTTCTATGTTTCAATAAGCAGAGCCAGCTGGAGCCGGGGTCAGACTAGATGGCCCAGAGGCCCCTTCTGCCTCGCTCTGTTTCTATGTTTCAATAAGCAGAGCCAGCTGGAGCCGGGGTCAGACTAGATGGCCCGGGAGACCCCTTCTGACTCACCCTGTTTCTATGTTTCCATGGAACGATAAAAGCTCACCTAGAATGCAGAGGACTGGATACCCACCAGTGGGACAGAGGGCATGTAAGCATCGTTCTTCTGCAGACATATCTACCAATATTTGGGCTGCTTATACACAATCAGTGCACTCTGATATTTGGATATTTGCATATAAGCAACTAGTAATTTTGGTGCATTTGTTTGGTCTTTATTTAAATTCGCTTTGGTGAACTTCAGTCAAAACAAATCAATGAGAAAAAAAGCTGAGGTCAGCTGTGAAAGTAAGCAAGGGGGTGGGGAGGGGGGTGCACACTCACGTCGGCTCCTGCGGGTCCGGCCGGGCCTCGTGGTCCTGGGGGTCCCGGGGGTCCCTGTGTGAAGAGCGCTTGTTTAGGAGCAGCGGTGCTCACGTCTGTCCTGGATGCTCAAGGAGCTCCCAAAACCCCGGAGAAGGAGGTGGTGGGGCAGGGATGGGGAGCGCGGAAGGGGTGCTTACCAGGGGCCCCACGTCTCCGGTCTCACCCTTTTCTCCAGAGGGTCCAGGCATACCCTGTCCGGCGAGAGAGAAGTTAGGAAGCGTCGGAGGGCGGTGCCCTGGGGGGCAGAATGGGAAGGGGGGGGGGCTGCAGGGGGGGGGGGCGTTACTCACCTGCAGGCCTACTGGCCCTGGGGGGCCATTGAAGCCTCGCGTCCCCTCGTCCCCCTTGGCCCCGAAGTGGCCCTGTGGGCCTCTGGCTCCGGGCTCCCCGTCAGCGCCCTAGGAGGAGGCAAGATGGGGCTCGGTCGGAAGGGACCCACACATCCCGGGAGCCGGGAAGAGCTGCAGGGAGACCACGGCACGGCGAGCCGCTCTCCCACGGCACCACGGGGGCTCGCACAGCAGCCGGGCTTCAGCTGCGTGGCCACGGCAGCCCGGAAGAGCGGCGGTCGGGGCGTGGACGGGGGAGAGTCCGCACCGCACCGCAGGGGGGTGGCTGGGCCCCTCCTGCCACGCGGCCCCTCAGCGTCTCTCTGAACGGGGGCGCTGCCATCTGGCCACCCAGCCCTGAAGCGGGATCGGGCACCCGGCACCCAGCCGGGAAGCGGAGGGGCCACCCGGGCCCCGCTGCAGAGGTGGTGGGGGGCGAGAGGCCCTCCCCGGGGACCAGGCGGGGTCCCCCCTGAGGCCTCCGGGACAGGGAGCCGGGCTGCCCCTCCCTCCTGCTGCTCCGAGGGTGGGAGAAGCCCCGGCCAAAGGCCAGGAGGGGCTGCTGGGAGAATTTCCCCCCGCGGGGCTCGGGTGGGACCCGGGAGGGCGGAAGGGGAGCTGAGCATCACCACATGGAGCATCAGGCTCCGGCCCATTTCTGCTGCCGAGAGCGGCGCTTCTGCGGGCGTTCCGGGTTTTGCCAAGAGCAGACGCTCCGCTCCAGGCCCAGCCTCCTGCAATCGGAGTGCGGTGCCCCCTGGGCTGGGGGCCAGGATGCCTCCTGCTTTTGAAGGGGGTCCTGCTCAATCAGCCCCCCTGGGGGTCCGTGCCCAGCGGATGGGCTGCACCCGGGGACTCTTCCGGGCAGCCACCCCCACAGGAAGGGCGTCGGAGCACAGCTGCCCCACACAGACCCCCCCCCCAGGGAAAGGGGGCTGCCCCCTTGCCGCCTGCCTGCCTGCCGGGCAGGGTCCCCCCTGCGCACAGGGACTTACCGCAGTGCCTGGCTGTCCGGGGGGGCCCAGGGGTCCGGGTGGACCAGGAGGACCCTGTGGGGGGAGACGAAGCTGTCACAACACTGGGGCAAAGCAGAGCCCCCCCCCCCCGCCCCGCCCCGCTCCCTCTCCCGCCCGCAGCCCCACGTTTGGGGGTGCCCCGGACTCACGTGCTCGCCTTTCCCGCCCTTGCTGCCCTTCTGCCCCGGGTCTCCCACCTCGCCCTGTGGAGAGAAGACGGCGCCAGTGAGATCGGCCCTGGGCCCAGGCTTGGGGGCGGGGGGACATGCGCAGGGGCAGCGCTGCTTCGGCCCTCACCTTGTCACCGTCCTCGCCGGGACCCCCGGGTGGCCCTGCGGGGCCCGGCAGGCCCACCGGGCCCTGCGCCCCGTCGCGACCAGCCGGGCCCAGGGGCCCCTTCTCGCCCTGCGGGAGAAACAGACGGGTGTTAGAAGCGGCTGCCAGCACCATCATCCCCACCCCGGCCCTCCTTCCGGGGCGGATGCCCCGCACTCCTCGCACGGGGGAGCCTCCCCAAGGCGGGCAGGCCAGGCCCGGGCAGGCAAGCCTTCCCCACCCAGCATCCACGGGGCGGGGGGAGCCAGATCCCACTGGCCCTGCTCGCCTTCCCAAGAGGGGCAGCCGCGGCTGACTAGGGTTGGCGGGCCCATGTGCCACGTGGCTGCCGCTCGGCCCCAGAGTGGGAGTCACCTGCCCCTCCCGAGGCTGGTTGAGGCGCGTGTGGCCGATCCCGGACCCCCTTTCCTCCCCCAGCCACCACTGGCTCAGGAGGCCGAGGAATGTTAAAGCACAGCTCGCCCACCGCAAAAGCCCCATTTCGCAGGAGGCAAACTGAGGCCCAGCGGAAGACCCCCCCCCCCGCCCATCCTGCCCCCAGACGCTTGGGGCTTCCAGGGCCAGTCTTCCTAGCTGGCAAAGTCAGAGCCTGAGGCACGCCCCCCCCCCGCCCCCAGCTCGCACGTTGAGCGGCTTGCCCCACTTCCCCCGGAGGACCCGGGGGCCTGCCCCACGTATACTCACAGGCACGCCCTTCTCCCCAGCCGGGCCAGGCGGTCCTTGTGGTCCGGGTCTTCCCGGGGGCCCGACGGGGCCTCCCGACCCCGCTGCCCCCCTCTCCCCTGGAGAGCCCTGCGGGGAAGGAGCGAGAGGTGAGGCCGAGCGGGGGCGGAAAGGGGGCGATGCCGCAGGCCACCGCAGCGCAGCGGGATGCCCAAAGCCGGCGCAGGGTCTCCCCACGCAGAAGGTGCACGCACAGCCGGGCGTGGGATGCGCAGGGCGAAAGGTTTCAACGGCTCAGGGCTCTGCGTGCACCGGGCCGGAAGGAGGAGCTGGAAGGCCCTTCCGGAGCAAGCGGCCCCGGTTGCTTTGGGCTGGCTGTCTGCCGCTCGGGTCGCCTGAGGCCGGAGGGCACAGAACCGGGGTGGGGTCTCTTCCCCCCACAACTGGCGGCCCACATTTCTCCCGCCTGGCCTACAACTGCAGAGGAGGGCAGGATGCCTCCAATGGAGCAAAGCTCAGGGAACCCAGGTTCGATTCGGTGCCAGGAAGCACTTCCTGATGGTCAGGACCCCGAGGGTGTGGAATGGGCTTTCCCGGGAGGTCGCTGAGGCCCCACCGGTGAGGGGGTTCAAGGACAGGCTGGACATGCAATGGTGGGCACGTTGTGAGCAGAGCTGGCTGGAGCCGGGGTCAGACTAGATGGCCCGGGAGACCCCTTCTGCCTCGCTCTCTTTCTCTGAGCAGAGCTGGCTGGAGTCGGGGTCAGACTAGATGGCCCGGGAGGCCCTTCTGCCTCGCTCTGTTTCTATGAGCAGAGCCGGCTGGACCTGGGGTCAGACTAGATGGCCCGGAGGTCCCTTCTGCCTCGCTCTGTTTCTATGAGCAGAGCCGGCTGGAGCCGGGGTCAGACTAGATGGCCCAGAGGCCCCTTCTGCCTCGCTCTGTTTCTATGAGCAGAGCCGGCTGGACCTGGGGTCAGACTAGATGGCCCGGAGACCCCTTCTGCCTCGCCCTGTTTCTATGAGCAGAGCCGGCTGGAGCCGGGGTCAGACTAGATGGCCCGGAGGCCCCTTCTGCCTCGCTCTGTTTCTATGAGCAGAGCCGGCTGGAGCCAGGGGCAGACTAGATGGCCCGGGAGACCCCTTCTGACCCGCTCTGTTTCCATGTTGCTACAACCACTGGCCATTCGGGCTGGTGGGGGGCTTTAGGCCGGCACATCTGGAAGGTTTCGGACTGGGGAGGGCCAGGACTGATGAATCTTCGGGCTCTAATCCGGCAAGGACAGCCTCGGTCATTTCCAGAGAGGTTCGCCTGCCACAGACATTATATGCTTTTTGGCACCAGGTCAAGACCTTTTTCTTTAGCCAATATTTTAAAGTTTGAATATTTTAATTACGTTTTTCTTGGCAGATCCTCACTCACATTTTATCTTGTCATGGTCTTATGCATTAATTAGGTATTTATTATATTGTAAGCCATCCAGAGACAACTCGTATTGGACTGGGTAAAAATATCCTAATACATAAATAAATGATTTTTTTCCTGCGTTTTGCGCAAGGTCCAGGCCTGGCCCAAGCCGCAGTTCCACCCGTGTGGAAAAGCGTCCCACATCCGCAAACTCGGACTCGCCGGGAAGCCGGGGCTGCTGCAAGGGGCGAATTCAGTCCTGCTGTCCCGGGACCCTTGCGTCCGTTTTCTCCGGCCCCCCGGGGGTCCCCTGCCGCTTTTAAAGTTTGCTAGATGACAGTCCTGTCCCATTTTTGCGGCGTCGGAAGCAGAACGGGGCTTCCGAGAGCGTGCAGAGGACGAGAGCAAAGCGAGCGAAGGCTTTGTGGGAACGGCAGGGGCCGTGGGGGCCGAGGGCCCCTGCCCTGCCTGCGCCTTCGCGGGTTGCCTGCTCCCTGACCCCCCCCCCACGCCTGACCACTGGAAAGAGAAAGGGGGTGCCACGCCCCAGCTGGGGGGCCCAACACGTCGGACGGGGCACAGGGCACAGAGCTGCAAGATCGGGGGCGGAAGCACTCACAGCGGGTCCCGGGGGTCCGGCGGGTCCCTCGTTGCCTTTCAGTCCAGGCCCCCCCTGCAAGAGGTGAGAGAAAACAGCTTTAGTCGGCCCCCCAAAAGGCTGCAGGGCACTGGTGCAGATGGGGGGGGAGGGGACAGAGCCGAGGGCCCCCCACCCCCCAAAATAACCCATGAGAAACTTGCGAAAGGGCTCCCCCCTCCCCCCCAGCCCCCACCTGCATTTCACCCCCTTTAGGTGAATCCGCATTTGCTCTTTGTTCTGGGAAAGCTAATACTGAGGAGGCCTTATACTCCAGCCTGTGTTGGTTGCTGGATTGCTCAAAAAGCATCCGCATAGGCAGATTTTATGCAGATCGGGGCATCCTCTTTAATAGACATTGGGAGAACTGCTCTGCTCCGCATCCCGGCCTTGTGGCTGCAGCCGGGCTCGGGGGGAGCCGTTCCCCAGGCTGGGAGCCGCGGCCAGCAGTGCGATGCGCCGATCGGCTGGCGGCTGAAGAGGACGGCTGCGCACCGTGCGGACTGGCGGCTGCCTGTGGTCTCACCGAGACACAGCCCCCCCCCCCCCCCGAAGAAGCAGGGCAAAACAGTGGAAGGAAAAATGGATGGATGTGCCCTGGCGTCCGAGCGGCACCCTTCAAAGGGGCAGCCAAGAAACGCGGCGGGGGCAAAAGGGTGGCCAAGCCCATCTTCCACGTGGGGCTGTGGAAAGCCCTCGCCAAGGGCTCTGCTTGGAGCCAGACCTCAGTGTGCCCCCCCCACCCCCACGTGGGATGAATACCGGAATGGCTCACATGGGGGGGGGGAGGACTTGGAGAGGAGGGGCTGAAGCCGCCCTCCCAGCAGCCGTTTCTGCCAGCGGCACCGAGGAAGACGAGGGTGGAGAGCCGGGCCCTTCAAGAAGCCCCGCCGAGCGCTCGCCTTTCCTCTCCCCTCCCTGTACGCCCGTCCTTGCGTGCCGTTTCCTCTTCGGCTGCAAGCTGGGGGGCCGCGGCTGCCTGCTCCTGCTGATGGATCTCACCCCGGAAGCCCCTCTGGGTGGGGGGCAGGATACTTGAGCCAGCCAAACCGGTGCCCCCGTGCGGGCGGAGGGCTCCCTCAGCGGCTCTTGGCCAAGACTCTCCAATGGAGCCTCGGCTTCCGGGGGGCCTGCACCCCAGCCCATGGGGGGCGGCCACGAACACCGGCAGAGCTGAACCGCAGCCAGCCAGCGTGGCCAGTGCTCGCGCCGGCAGCTCGTAGGAAACCCTCGAGCGGGATATGGGTGCAAAGCACTCCCCACCCATGTTCCCCAGCAGCTCATGCCCACAGGGGTAGCAGGCAGCCAGAGCCCTGAGTGGCCCTCTCCGTGCTCCAGCGGTGCCCTCTCTAAGAAGCACCAGATGTGTTGGTGTTTGGAAACCCATAATCTCGGTTTAAGGGCGGATATCTGAACTTCCAGCGGGCCACAGTGCCAATCCTACCGGCTGCGCCTGGAAACAGTCTTTTTCCCAGGGAGAGGAAACCCCTCCCCTCCCCTCCCACCCCCCCACCCAGCCCTCCCTGCTCCAACGCTTCCCGAATCAGTTCGTCCGTCCCTCGCAAGGGAGGCAGAAGGTACCTACAGCAGTCCCAGGAAGGCCCCGTTCTCCGGGGAAGCCGCGCAGTCCAGCCGGGCCGTCTTTCCCCGGGCTGCCGGTTGTGCCGGGGTCCCCCTGAAACAGGAACGGAAAGCCGCGTCAGCCCCCCAACCTGCTGGGCATGTGGCCGGCACACCGAGGCAGACGTGGCCCCTGGGGGGCTCAGCCCAGCCCAGTTGCGCGGAGGAAGCGGCCGGGTCCCGCCTTTCCAGCGAAGCGTGGTGGAGGGATGCGGAGGGAAGCGCCAAGAGTGGCAGAGCATCCACCCTCCGCCCAACCTCTGCAGGGGGCGGCGGCATGGCAAGGATGATGGGCCTGAGCCGGCTGTGTGGGACTGCGGCGAACGAGCCCAGCACGCCCTCACCCGAGCCGGCGGGGCCTCTCCCCAGCCGCGCGGCGGGTGCCCCGCTTTGCTGTGACAAGCCGGGCCGCCCGGGCGACACCGGGGGGGCGGGATGGGGACCGGGCGAAGCAGGTTCGGGGCGAGGCGAGGCCCGGGGCCGGGTGTGTCGGGCGGGCTCCGGGGGAAAGCGGAGGCCTTTGCAGCACATCCGTCTGTGGCTGGTTTGAGCTCCTCTGGGTCGCTCTGCTGTTCCCAGGCCAGTGGGGGCGAACCGTGGCACGCTTGCCTCACGGGGCACCCGGGGCCCTCTCCCTTGGCACGCGAGCCCAGTCGCCCCAGCATGGCCCAGCAGCCCAGCATTGGAGAGCAGCGCACATGGGGGCCGTGCGCAGGCTTGGGAAGGGGCAGCGGCGCCAGGTGATGCCGTCACGAGCCGCGACTCGCCCGAGCTTCGCACGGCCGGTCAGTGCACTGCCAAGGATATATATATATATATATATTTGCTTGGACTGGCCGTGAGTGTTAAAACATTCGTTGTTATTAACACAAGATTTTAGCATTGAGTTTTCTGATGAAAAATTGAAATTTAATATCTAAGATTTAGCACAGAGATGCTCTAATTAAGAGACTAAGATTCTTTTAATGTTGTGCTGGCATCTTTGAATCTGCAGCATCTTATTTAGTTTTTTTTACTAAAGTAAAACCTCAGTTTTCAGGTTTGAGTGCGGTGTTGGCACTTTGAGATAAATCAGTGGGTTTGGGGTTGCAGTTTGGGCACTCGGTCTCTAAATGGTTCCCCATCACTGTTCTAGGCCCGTGACGACGGAAATTATTTTAAATGAATAAAATATCTTGAGCGTGAAGAAAAGACGGAGGGCTGCTTCCAGGAGGCAGGCTCTGGTGGGCTGCCCCTCCTGGTCGGTGGTGGGAGGGCTCCGAGCAGCAGCCGGGGGGCTGGGGATCTCCCAGGGGGGCCTGGCCAGCCCAGGGTTGGGAAACCCCTGCCACCGCACGGGGGTTCGACGAGACAGCCCAGAAGCCTGACCCCAGAGGCTTCCCTTGCAGCTGACGGGTTTTGGGGTGAAGCATGGGGGGGTGACCGGATCGGTGTGGGGCAGAGAGCCCAGGGACCGAGGGAGCTGTGGGCACGGGGTGCTGGCTGGCCAGGCGTGGCCCTCCTGAGACAAGCCCTTCTCCTACTGAACAGGCCAACCTCGCTTCTATCGGGAGGTGGGGTGTGCTGGGGACCCCAAGTCCGTGGGGCTCCTTATCTACTGCAGTTTCCACTTTGAGCTTCACAGCAATTGATCGTGGTCCATCACCAAACTAGAATAGCCTCTGTGGAGCACTGTGGATAGCACCTGGACAGCTCAGAATGAAAGCTGCCATCCATAAGGAGCCCCACTGACAGATGGGTCAGCAGCCCCCGCTGCCTGCAGCCCTGTCTTAGCAAGGTGTTCCCCCTGCCCCGTGCCTGGCGAATAATTTTATTTAGTTAATTAACTTATACCCTGCTTTTTTTCCTAGGAAGGACTCAAGACAGCCTCCTTCATTTGCCGTCTCCTGCTCTAGCTTACCCCCGAAACAACAACCCTGTGAGGAAGGCCGGGCTAAGCATCTGCGCCTGGCCCAGAGTCACCCACCTGGGCTCCCTGGCTGAGCAGGGACTTGAACCCGGGTCGCCTGAGTCCCCCTCGGCCACGAGGAGGAGGAGGAAGCCGCAGGTTCACACGCCGGCCCCTCATTCCGCCACCTCCCCAAAGCCACCCACCCCATCGGCACGTCCTGCCTCGTGCGGCACCCATGCCCTGGCCTCCCCCCTCCTGCGGGGCAGCCCCCACGCTCCCCTCTCCATTCCCCCACAACAGCCCTGCGAGGCGGGCCGCACCGAGTCACACGCCGGCTCCCGGCCCCCTCCCCCCCCCAGCCTTTACCTTGGTCCCTTCTTTCCCGGATGGGCCTGGCAGACCTTGCTCCCCAGGGGGGCCGGGAGGGCCGGGGTGGCCCCTCTCCCCCATCGGGCCCGTTTCTCCTGGGGCGCCCTGGTGGGGAGAAAAGGGGGCGGTCTCGAATCAGCAGCTCCGAAGATCCCCAGCCCTCCGCCTCCGGTGCCCCCCAGTGGCACCCCGTCCAACAGCGCATGCCCCCAGCAGCCCCACACCTGGGCCGTGCAGACGGACCCCGCCGGCAAACCCCCCCCCCCAACCACAGGGCAAGCTGCGGCTTATTCATTTATTTACTCCATTTCTGGCCAACCCCATAAGATTCTCTGGGTGGGTTGCAGCAGAAAAAAGGCAAAATAAAATACAGAATAGAATGAAAGATACAAATACAATATAAGAAGAGCTACAATAACTACATAGCCCCAGTTAAAATACTACATAGATCAAGATAAAATTAAAATACCACCGAAAGAAAAAGGCTTTCACCTGGCGCCTAAAGACTGTAAGGAAGGCACCAGGCGGACCTCTCTGGGGGGTTCATTCCGGAGTTGGGGAGCCACTGCAGAGAAGGCCCTGCTTTGTGTGACCACCCTTTGAATTTCCTGAGAAGGGGACTCCCTCAGAAGGGTCTCAGGTGCAGATTTAAGGCGCTGGGTAGGTTCATATGGGCATGTCATGAGTGGAGCTGGCTGGAGCCGGGGTCAGACTAGATGGCCCGGGAGGCCCCTTCTGCCTCGCCCTGTTTCTATGTTTCTATGAGCAGAGTGGGCTGGAGCTGGGGTCAGACTGGATGGCCTGGAGGCCCCTTCTGCCTCGCTCTGTTT